GAGGAAATAGTGGAGGAGGGGGAAATGAGGTGCCCCCCTGAAATCCTGGCTGGTCCCTCACTTGTTGCATTATAATTCATAACAACACTGTTACTGATGCATGTATTCTGTTTCCCAGGTAAAAGATGTGGTCGTTTATTTTAGTGGTATGTCTATCCCAAGGATTTGTGCAGTCAAAAGAACACATAAGAAGAAAAAGAGCTGTGGATCCAGAAGCATTTATGAGTATTGTAAGTTGCTTTTTTTTGTTAGAATGAATAGGATACATCTTGCAAACTTCAATGTGAATATGATTGACTATCTTGATTCTGCTTGGTTTGTTTCAATGGTCATGTCAAACAACTTTGTATCTGTACAGTAGCTGCTTATTCCTCAAGATCTGCAGACTGGAGATGAAGAAAAAGTAAAGAGTTTTTAACAGGTGTCCCTGATCACCTCCAGTTCTTGTCATCCATTCACCAAGTCCAGTTTTGAGGAACCAAGGTGGTTGAGACTAGCACTGATGCCCAAGGAGGACTGAGCAGTGCTCTTCCAACTCATCTGGTTGATCTAGTGACTGAGTGAGAAAAAAGCTTCCCTCAGAACATTATCAGGATGTATGACCCAAGCATCTGTGCAAATCTAAGCCATTTATTTATTTATAGCCCAGCCTTCTCACTGAGACTTCAGACAGATTACAAAATATAAAAACAATGCAATATCTTTTTTGCGATGCAATGAGCAGAACTGTACACAGTATTCCAAATGAGGCCACACTATAGATTTATACAGGGGAATTATTATACTGGCTGATTTGTTTTCAGTCCCCTTCCTAATAATCCCCAGTTTAGCATTTGTCTTTTTTATTGCAGTTGCACACAGAATGGAAATCTTCAGTGAGTTATCTACCATAACTCTAAGATCTCTCTCCTGGTCAGTTACCATCAGTTCATACCCCATCAACATATATTTATAGTTAGGATTCTTGGCTCCAATGTGCATTATTTTGCACTTGCCCACATTCTTATTATATGTAGATCTGTTTGTGGAAAGTGTGCTTACCCTTTTAGGGTGTGAAGAATCTACTGTCCTGGCTTCCTCACCCTGGTGCTGAACTCATTTGTCTGCTAAACTCACCTGTTTATTCCCTTGTTCCAGACACTTTGTCATTGGAGCTAGCTAGAACACTTTGGCACTAGAGTGGGGCCTACTACCTCACAGAGCTGAGGCCTGCTTTTAGGGTCCCTAAATAAATGGTTTAGGCCAAACCTTCACACCATACTAGAGCCAATCACATTGATTGGGAGCTAACCAATAAAGGTTTGTTCTGTTATTTGTTATTTGTGTTCCTTTTTCTATTACAAAAACCTGCCTAAGGTTTAGCCTTATCTGTGAACTCATTATTCCTAGCCTCTGGTCTTAATACTTTAATTTATAGGTGTAATAAAGTTTAAAAGTGATACTAGAGCTTAAGCTAGCCCTGCGACCTCAGTTTTAATTTTTGTCCTTTGTTCGACCCTCTGTTTAATCCTCCCCATACTTGCAGTAAAACTAGCCAAGAACCTCTGAGCCTGTTTAGCACTAGAATTAGCTATACCAGAGTAGTCTGAGCAGCTACAACAGAACTAAAATTAGGACCAAAAATTAGAATAGAACTAAAATTAGCTACACCTGAGTAGTTTGAGCAGCTACAACATTGAGAAGTTACAAAATGCTTGTACCTAAGGATATTTTAAAATATTTACCCTCCTTACTATTTTAACCCTTTTCACTTAGCCTATCTTGATAGAATTTTGTAATAAAACTTGTGTGTGTGTGAACAGTGCAATATACTACCTAGGAAGGCAGGGCCCGTGGACTGGAAAGGAGATATCAAAGGTTACATGGCTGCACCACTAAGTGACTTGGAGTGTGGAAACTGAGTAGTTATCTCTCTTTCGGTATACCTGTACCTACTCATTAAGAACTTGGTGATGGAACTGCTACTGCTCATGTCCACATGGCTTAGGGTAGCCAGCCCCAAGGTCCCAGTGGCCCCCAGTTTGGGGGGCTTCTCCCCACTATGGACCCACTCCTAAACAGGGACATCGCTGAGCCAGCCCCAAGGTCCCAGTGGCCCCCACTTTGGGGGGCTTCTCCCCACTATGGACCAGATGGCCGGTGGGGGAAACCCACTCCTAAACAGGGACATCGCCGTACGATGTCTCTGATGCAGTGTCACCTGGAAGTGATGTCCTTGTGTGGGGGACGTCACATGGGGGACGTCACATGGGGGACACTCTGGTTTTTGGGCAAACTTTATGTTTTAAGTCAAATTTAACCATAGAGTTTGCCCAAAAACCAGAGTGACATGATGACATCACTTCCAGGTTATGTCCCCTCCCCACCCCAGAACACCCCTCCAGTCCCCTCACTGGGGCAGCAAGGGGATCTGGCAACTCTAATGTGGCTGCAGGTGACACATGTGCTCCCAACAGTTTAAGAGTTTAGGTATAACCACTGAGCTGTGGTAGAGTCTCAAGCAGCCCTTTCTGTCATATTTTCTTCTCTGAGCAAATAGGTATCCACCTACTGTTGTACAAGTCTCTGATGGCTTTTTCAACAATGTACATAAAACCTGGAGCACTTTTTTCTTGCAGAATGAGCTCATCATGTACAGGGGCTACCCCAGCAAAGAGTATGAAGTACTGACAGATGATGGGTACATTCTTAGCATCAACAGAATCCAATTTGGCATTAAGAATGAAGGGAACTCAGGTAAGACTTATTGATATGATGCAAGGCAGAGAGAAGACTGGTATGACCTACTGTGGGCTCAGTGCACATCATGCTCAAGTCCATCTCACAATGTGAGGAATGATAACGCTGGCAAAGTAAAGTGTATTTGAAGCCTGTCACTGTTGCTGCTCTCTGTTCTCTTTTTCCTTCTATCTCCTGCTTGCCCCCATCTCTTCCTCTGAATCCTCCTTGTCCAGGTATAGAGAATTCACATACTACCTGGCTGAAGCATCCGGCTGCAGGGTAGCTTTTTTGTGTGTTTAATTAAGATCTTTTTTACTGCCCTTTCACACTTGTGTGGGTCTCAGGGCAGCTCACAACAATTTGGTTCAATACAGTGTAAAATAAGTTAAAACAATAAAAGCACAATATTTAAAACATTCAGAACATTTAAACATTTTGAAAACAAGATGGCAGTGCTAGCATTCAGTCATGGGGATGCTAGGCAGAAGTAAAGAACTGTCACTGGACTAGACCAAAGGCTTGGAGGAACATCTCTGTCTTACCTGCCTTGTGAAACTTTAATAGATCAAACAGGGCACGGATGTCAATCAGCAGAGAGTTCTACCAGGTTGGGGCCAGATATCATTTGGGCTGGGGACCACCAGAAGGTTACCTAAGAGGGGTGGCCAATATTGTAACCTAAAACCTTACTCAGAGTATGGCATCTGGACAGGTGTGAAAACCTCGGTGTCATGATGCTCCATTGTAGTGCTGATGAAGCAGGCCATTCTATTGATAACCAAATGTCCATTTGGCAGGAAATGCCAATGCAGGAACAAAGCAGTGATGGGTAGTACGTGACTACAAACAGTTCAGCAATGGGGGCTGTCTCTTCTCAAGGTTGTTGTTTCTCATTGCTCACAATAATGGAGGTTTGTGCTTCTTCACCAGGCTTGGCAACTGTGTAGCTGAAACCTTATTTACATGTAAGGCATGTACAGGCACATTCTATGTGTGGCATCACAACAGGTGACTTAAAGTGTACAGCTTTCTGAGCCTATGTGTGTGTGCACAGTCCATTGTGTGTAGCAATAAATAGTCCATAAAGCAAATATCAAGCTCATTCTCTAACACTTTAGAAGATGTAGTTAGTAATGAGCAGGTTTTGAGCTATGAGGAAATTATATTTAAATTGGGCAAGAAACACCCCCTCGTACCCCCCCTGAATTAACTACATGCTTAATACTCTATTAGGAAAATGCAGCAGTTCAGAATCTAAAACTTTGTTTGAGGTGATAATCAGTACAAACAATATATTTAGAGGATCTATAGCAAATTTGTTGTTGTTGTTCAGTCGCACAGTCGACTCCGACTCTCCGTGACCCCATGGACTAGATCACGCCTTCCTTATAGTCCAACTCTCGCAGCCATATATGACTACTGGGAATACCATTGCTTTGACCATGCGGACTTTTGTTGGCAGGGTGATGTCTCTACTTTTTATCATGCTGTTTAGGTTCACCATCGCTTTCCTCCCAAGGAGCAAGCGTCTTTTAATTTCATGGCTGCCGTCATAGTCTGCGGTGATCTGGGATCCCAGGAACGTGAAGACTGTCACTACTTCCACGACTTCCCCTTCTATTTGCCAAGGAGTGATGGGGCCGGATGCCATGATCTTGAGCTTCAAGCCCACTATTGCGCTCTCCTCTTTTACCCTGAGCAAGAGGCTCTTTAGATTCTCTTCACTTTCTGCCATTAGAGTGGTATCGTCTGCATTTCTGAGGTTGTTGATCTTTTCCCCAGCAATCTTAATTCCCGCTTGTGATTCATCCAGGCCAGTATTTCGCATGATGTCCTCTGCATATATAATAACT